ATTTGTCGTTACAAAAGGAAGGCTGCTGCCTCAGAGTTCCTCATCTCTGAACAAAGATGTGGTCTTAAACAAGTTACTCCTTGTAAAGGTTCTAGTGTTTATTCTGCTATTTAAACCAACTAAATTGATGTATTAACATAATCCTGTCCCTATGCACTGAAATTCTTTCTCACATTATGTCAACTTTCATTTCAAGACCATACAACCGCCTAGGACAAACAAAGACCATTTGTTGTCTGCGTCAAGTTCACCGAATGTAGGTGTGCTGCAAGCCATTTCACCTCTCTGAAACTGAGCATGTATTCACCATTGGCAGGATATGGCATAACAATCTCACCTCTATTAATAGCCATTGAATATTATGGGTATATTTATAGTGTGGAGATAAACTCTGCTATATACACACTGGGTGTTAACACATGTCAGTGTACACACTATACAGTTCAGCCTGTAGTAGACAAGCTATGCTACATTGCTTAACTAATGCTAGAAACTGTGCATCATAAGCGTGTTGTGTTGCCAGGTGTTTATATCACCTGTACTGGGAAACTAGTATTATCGGGTGCAGCACTGTATGTCAAAAGCTTTCTGTACTGCTCTTTGTGTCCTTCAAAATCTGTCCGTAAAAGTCAAGAGTTAGTTTAAGAAACTTTCTTCCTTAAATTACCACCTATATTCTTGTAGCTTAATCAGTAAACATGTACATTTATCTTTGAGTTGCAACTTAATAGTAAAGGTGTTCCACAGGGTACTTGACTTGACCCTTTTCTCTATATTATCAATAATGTCCCTGTAATGATGCTGACACTGTTTTTATACAGGTGACAGTTTTACAAAAGGCTGCCCCTGCTGAGGTTAGTGCAGACACAACACTTCAGTTTAATTTAATCACCATGTTCCAAACAATTTCCAGAAAATAACTGCTTACCAATGCTCATGTTTTTGCATTTATCACCTGGGAAACAGGATCCACTGTTAACTATTATAATTAACTCCAGACACTTGTTTTGCCCGGTTGAGTGTCTGCAATGTAAACTCAGGCAAAATTGTGATGTGATGTCATTCACATCCACAGATCTGCCTGCGAGGCAAGATCAGCCTTAGCTCTCTTCTTTCATTATCTCTGCATCACGTTCTTTGCCCCTCCTTTTGGCATCAGTTTTTCTATGTTTTTGTGACTATTCTTCAACAGCTCTCTTAATCATCTTCTTATGCGGGTTTCTCCCATGTTACAGCCCCTTTATATTGTTGGCTGACCTCATGCTTCCCTCTTTTTAATGTTCCTCTTCCCTGTTGACTTTTGGGAGGTACAGACCATTAGTGTCTTTTCTTAGCTTTGCCTCCATAACCTGAAACACAAGCAGTGCTTCTTATGTCCTGTCTATAGTAGTCTCCTTCTCTGATCACTTCCATTAATAACTGGAAATTATGCATGGTTTCCCATCTGTTATGCACTAACTTCCCTTTTACCAGATCAACAGCTTCTGTCTCCAAAGAGAGAAACATTGAAGCGTAGTTGACACTTGCATCATTTGACAGAGTGCTGTTTATGATTCTTCATCATGTTTGTTTTCTATACTTAGACTGCAGTCGGTTAGGATGGGATATTTTCATCCAGGGGTTACACAGGGATAGTGGCCTGAATGGACCAGAAAGAAAACAAGACTCGTCTAGACCACAACTGTAAATGCTATTTACTGCATATTTTTGCACTTTAGCCTTTAAATGGGCTTTTATGAAGTTCAAATTCAGTATAACATTGAGTTTGGTCCTGGGATAAACTTTGGAACATTGTAAAGAGGCTAATTGGCAGCTCTCTCAGAGCTGTTCTGTCGTCACAGTGTTTTTACATGTGATTGATTGCTTTCAAGCGAGTGTGTTAATGTATGAAGAAAGTCTGGCAGTGGAAGGATATGAACTATGACACTGCAATGAAAGAATTCGTGTCTTATGTTGTGGACTGATTGGGCTCAGTGTATCAGATTATATATGTGTGTAAAAGGATATTGACCTGGTGCTATCCACAGATTATGACTTATCTTTTCTAATCCAAGGTGGGGGGATGGACACGTAGTTGTTCCTGTGGGAACGAGGAAGATGTAAATATATAAACCTGATCAAACACTGTCATTAGAAGGTCATTGACCTATAATTTGTTTAAATTGTTGAATCATGGTTGGCTGAAATATTGAATATGAGACATGGAGATATGTGGATTCATTTGTGACCAGACAGAAAACAGTGACTTGATCTGGCAACAAATTAAGTTTTGATGTTTACTTTCAACAAAGTAGTTTGAGAAACTGTATAACCCAGTTGCTGTATTCCTTTCTTGTCACCTGTGAAGTTGAAACCAGTTTGCCTTCCTTTGTTCGAATGCAATGTGTCATTCATTCAAAACCGCCCAAATCCAGTTTATTTGGACTGTCAACTTATCTAAGTGGCTGTTTGTCAACTTACACCCACAGTCTATCTTCCTGTCTGACCAGGACCTGATCTAACAGACCTGCTAAACTCCCTCATTTAAGAGGTACCTGGTGTTGACAGTGACTTGTAGTAATTTTTTACGATGGAAGGAAAGAGTGCTTGAAGCCAAAATCAGAATCAAAGTGAATCCATAGTTTCTGAATTTGCCGCTCTAAATACACAGATGACAGTGTTGACCTCAAAGCCAGTTGCTCAAGATAAAGATTGTGTTTGTAATCCATGAGTGTGTGTATGTTGCTGCTATGGTTTTTCTTGATATTTGTGACTTCAAACTACACGTAAATGTCCCTATAAGACACTTGTGTGTGTGTGAGACTTGTGTTAATGTCAGTTGCTGCTGTATGAGCTACTCCAAGTTCCTCCTTCTATCACATGATCACACTATGGTTTCATGAATATTCACACACCTCTAAGACCTCGACCTTTTCACTTCTGCTCGCTTGGAAATTTGCCTTCTTGAAAAGCGACCTCATTCTACTATCACTGCTTCCTGTTAAGCTGTCCTCATAAAACTAAATGTCTATAAGGTGATTGTTAAAATCTAATTTTGCTCAGACAGGTCAGCTCCTCCCTGGCCTATGTTGGGCCAGTGCAGCATAATCAATGTTGATTCAAACCCATTAATAGTTTATACCCACCCTGCGACATTACTGTCCTCCACAACATACCACACACACACAGTCCATACCATCCCCCTTCTCTGCATTGCTGCCCCCACTTGTGGTCGTACACACATTACCTCACACACCACTGGTTTCACTGGCTAGGTGCATTCAACAATGTCCTTACATGAAGGGCAGAACTGGGTGAGCTGCAGAATGTAAACATAATATACGTAGTCAGACCCGGGAGGAGCATTATTTTAAAAACTGCTTACTTCTTGTTTTGCTCACATGCTTTAGATTATAGTTTATTATATGATGTTACTGGATGTTCATGCTGCCTCAGACTTTGCTTCAGACAGCCTCAGAGTGGCTCCTCCAACACGAGTCCAAACAGACAGGTTCTTCTTCTCTCTGACAATGACACATTTCCCTGCTGAAGCCGGGGATTCAGTCTCTTGCAGACTCAACCAGAGCTTAAAATAACCTCAAGTTTGATTTAACCCTTTGGGGGTCAGTGCTGCTGCTAATGGGATACACACTCAATCAGGATTGACAAGCCATCTGCTGCTGTGCAGGCATTGGAAAACTGATTTTATCCCATCTCTTGTACCTTCTGTCTCTAATATACTCTATCGCTCTCTCACTCACTTTACACCCGTTTATCGTTTATTATTTCCCCAAGTTTCTCTGATTCAGCTTTATTTCCTCTTCCCCCCTTTGCTCACTTGAAAGTGAAATCATTTCTCTGTGATGACTTTGTGTTAATAGTGGGAAATCGAAAAATGATCATAACAAGCATATATCATTTCCACATAGCTGTACTGTGGGAGTTAATATATGATACACTGAGGAGAACAGCAGACATGATTTTATCTAAAATAGAGATAGTTATGTCAACCAGCATTAAGTATTAAAAAGGGAGCCCTATGTACGTAGGAGTGGTATTCAGAGATTAAATGTCCAACGTTTCATTGGATCAGAAGTCTAAAAACTAAAGTCAAAGTTGTCCTAGTGTGTGTGTTTTTTTTTAAAGCTGTAGCAGAGACAAAGCAGCGAGTACTGTATATCAGGTTTGTTTCCAGTGTGAGTGATAACATAAACTGGTACAATCTGTACTGTGTTGCTCTGTCAGGACTCGTGCTTTATGTCCAGCTGGGCCATTAGCGAGTGACAGGTGGAAGAAGGCCTGTGTGGTTATGATCTACTGGCCAACCTATGATGACCTGTGCGTGTGCGCCTCCGTTTGTGTTGGAGCCCAACAGATATATCGATTGGTTGATAAGAGCATTTTATTTCATAGAATAAACAATGCAGAAAATTCAAGTTCTATATATTTGGTGTTTTCTTATTATTCATAGTTATTTACAGTAAAGTTTATTGCTTAACTATAAAATATCAAGCCTCAATTACATTTCTTTGTCAGAAACTCAATTTTTTCACTCCCTTATTTCAGCATATTGGTCAGGCTTTAGTTTGTTCACATCTGTCTGTTGTATTAATTCAACACGCAGAATGACTAATTGGCACACAGTTATTGATTGTCGTTGAAAGGGTGTCTCCAGGACCCAAGTGTAATTTTCATGCATTGATTTGTTTTCCACTGTGCGTCAAAAGCTATAATTTCTCTCTTTAGTCTTCATAACTCTGTATTGTTTGAAAGAACAATGTCGGGTAGAAAAGAGGAGAAACGTCGGATTCTGTTTACGTCTTTGTCTTTGCTGTTACAAAACATGTGATGATGTATAACACTGGAAACAGCCGCAGCTGAATTAACATTCTAGAGAGGCCAAATTGCTAGTGACCCTGAGTATTATTCGAGAGCTGTTCATCATTGTGGTCACTCGGCTCATGTTTGTTTATGTGTGTGCAGTCACATGAAGCTGTTGTTGTCCTTAACGGCCTTTACAGCATCGAGAGCAAGCATGAAGTCACCATCCTCAGTGGACTCAATGAATTTGTAGTGAAGTTTTTCGGACCACAAGGAAGTGAGTATTTCTTTTTTTTCAATTTGATAAAGATTATTTTTGTCCTGACACATTAAAAAAAGTTTCACACCTCAAACTTCCTTTGGCTAATTAATATGTCCCAGAAATCTGATGTGTTTTCTTCCATGTTCCAAGATACATCACACAAATTATGAACCAGTTGTTTGAGTGTCCTCTACTTCAGTCATGCTCCTGTGAGAGGTTCGTCTGAGGCCAAAACTGAAACCAGGACCGACGCCACAAAGTGTAAAACAGTGAGGAGTCAGGCTTGAGGGGGAATTTGGACGACGAGAGCGGCCTCATCTGCAGGAAATACTTCCTTCGTCTGCTGTTCGCAACATCTGTCGCACTGAAACCGCTTCCACTTACACACCAATAAAGAGAGGAAGTGGGTGTTTGACCCTGTTTATGATTCCTCCGCACTCTGCCAAATGATATTGCACTGTCGTTTGTGTAAGCACGTGATCTCTGCCATCCATTGTCACGGAGAGTGTTTCCAGTCAGTTGTGTGTCGCTCGGTTTCGGCAGGGCGCTCACAGAGGGTCCTGTTACGCACAGCTATTCTGGGAGAGCACCGCACACTCAATCACAATCTCATTCTCCTCCTCTTTGATGTTGGTGTATTTTGTGAAGTGATTTGGAGGTAAAGAAGTCTCCCGGGCTGAAATATGTTTCAGCATAAAATAAAATGAAGTGGCAGAGAAGAGTAGCATGTGCAGCTCGTTTCTCTAGAGGTCTCCTGTACTGATGTATTTGAGCGTAGGAAGAAATTGATATAACTCTGCAGTGTCTAAATCTGCAGGAGAGCTTGAAGGATAGGAAATGATGTGTGAGCCTCTAGTCATCGTTGTTCTCTTCTTTGTGTCCCCCCCTCATGTACAGCGCCGTACGAGGGAGGTGTGTGGAAGGTGCGAGTAGATCTTCCCGACAAATACCCTTTTAAATCGCCATCAATAGGTAAGAACTCTAGTGTTGTATGGAGCCTTGTAAGATCCCACCTTAGTTTTTTTTACACTGTTGTCAACTCTATCTTGTTTTTTTCAGGATTCATGAACAAGATTTTTCATCCCAACATTGACGAAGCGTAAGTTATATCAAGTTATAATATCATGTCTTCAGTTTTCAAGTGTTACTTTGAGACTACGTTGGCAGAGTTGACTATTGGGTTATTGGTCATTAACACTTACAACACTTATTACTTACTTATGTGTAGTTCTCCACATTACAGTGTATTTTATTGTTGTAAACAGTTGGTCTGTCATTGCAACCAAAGCATTTGTTGAATTTGTGGATAGTTCCTGATGTTTCCTAATTACTTCATTACTTCAAATCTTTAGGCCATTAAGATATTAAAAAGATCAACTAATGTTGTGTGCTTCACTTTGACTTTTGAATGAGCCACCGAATCTTGGCACCGTCAGCTCACAGCAGCAAATCACACAAATATTTAACTAGGCTAAGCACTTTGTTTCTGTGGGTCCATTAATCCACTGCTTAGTGGCCAGATCCCTTGAAGGATACATGAAGGTGGGTGCGTCTCTGTGAGGACTGACAGGCTGAACCTGTGTCTCCTCCCTGAATGAAACATTCTGGCCTCACAAAGGCCACAAATTATGTGTGTTGTACTTATTACCAGGAAATGACTATGGATTTTTTTTAAATCTTTTTTAACCGTTTGGACACAAATACCCGGACATTCAGAGTGAAGAGAAATTGTACAGTCGACCAACACACTATTTATTATGGGATTCTAACAGCTGGAAGGACTGACCTGGTTTTGTCCTCAAATTTCAGCCACTTTTGAAACAGCTCTTGTTTTGCAGTTAATGTACTCAGTTGAGATAAATGTCTGTAAGAAGATCCTGTCCCCTGAGCAGAGACACTGTGGCACCTGGATTCCAGCTCACCTCCCTCTGGCCTTACCCCTCTAACTCTTGTTTTCCTCTCCATTTCCCAGGTCAGGGACAGTGTGCTTAGATGTCATCAACCAGACATGGACAGCCCTTTATGGTGAGTGGCCCCCGCTGCGTATGTGTTCATATTAGGTTTCCTCACTGGGGTGTGGGATTATTTGCGGAGATGTTGACTCGGTGCCATCAGCACCAAAAGGTGAACGCCAGCCCCTAATGCCCAAGAGTGGGCGCATTAGGCACTGGTTCACAGTTGGCCCTAATCTGCTTACTGAGGGGAGAGCACTAATGAGGTAATACCCTCACCCAGCAAGGTCAGAAAACATTCACCTTCGACAGGACTGATTTACTGTCTGTCAGCTGTGAGCGACATGCTCACAAACTCTCAGCGATGGCGGCGATTGCACTCAACATTTTCTCACCCAGTTGCTCTTCTCACTGTCACAGCATAATCTCTGTGCTGCCCCCCATGTCCCTCTGCCCTTCTCCCTCTATATTCCCCAATTAATTTCTCATTACAGTGGCTCCACAGGGCTAAGATAGCTACTCAGCAATAGACATGACTTAACTATAATATCCCCAGCAGATATTTGAGCATCTCTCACTATTTATTTCCAGTGATGATCTGTGTGGCTCAGAACCGAATGTTAATCCATCATGGTGTTTGAGTATCATGATGTAAAATGAAGTCAGGTTCAGGTGTTTTATGGAA